TGCACGAATGGTTTTACAACAGCATCAAATCCTCTGCGTTATTCAGGTGAGGGGCGGAGCAGCCGGGTGCAGCAGACAGAGGCAGGAAGTGACGTATTAGGTAACTTATGACTACAAACTGTCTTGACATCATCTGTGTCTTCTACACGTGTCACTGCTTTTTCGCGTTTTAAAAGCGCCATCAACCCCCCCACTGGTTCGCGGTGAATCCCCTGCTGTGTTTATACTAGGAGGTTAGACTACGGACTCAGACATTTGCGTTCACGCATGCACCTCCTCAGGAGAAAAAAACGGAGAAACTGCGGAGTCCGGTGCATGTCTGAAAGCAGCTATAGAGTGACATTCATTATGAGTCCTCAGATCATTGCCTGATGCAATGCAGGTGACGTCCAGTTAGCGGAGGTTCCTGCTGGAGATGCAAGTGAGATCATTGACAGCAGTGAGACTGAAGGTCAACTGTTGAGTTGCAAGACAAAAAACCAAAGGAAAGAATTTATAGAAGCTAAATGGATTCATAGAGCTGCAGAGTGGGATGACTATTCTTCAGAAAAAGGGACACATTACACCACTGGTAGGGTCTATTGTAGTATAAAGATATGTAGTAGTGCAGCATTCATATATTCCTGGTGGAGGGCAGTTGTTGGTGAAGGGTGATTTTTCCCTGGACTTGTATATTATTGGCAGATGCTATTAACTGTAGTTGATCAAATCAAATCCTGTTGGTTTTTCAAAGCACTTATTCACATACCCAGTCAACCCCTAGTTCGTTAGTTGACCTGTTAACCAAATAGCTGTCGACTGATTGGGTTTGATTGATTGACGACAGCTGATTGGCTTCCTGGCAGGGGGTGGGGAGTGGAGCAGCTCTGTTGTTTGACATGGAACAGGGACAGGACATATCAACGGTATCAGGTGCTGAGGTGACTTGGTTGTCCATTTCTTCCACTCATGGGTTTCTCTTTCTTATTCATCCCAAATTGTACATGTGTGTGTTGTGGAGTGTGACCTGGGTGCCCAGATCAACCCACCAAGTTCCAGTTACTCCTCCTTTTGTTTTTTTCTACATTGTTTAGATTGTGATTCGATGATCCCAAGGACAAATGACGGAGCGTCTTTTCCACAGAGCTGCCAAATGAAATGCAAAGCACACACCATTTATGTAACATCTCTGCAGTGAGCTAGATAGTAAAGTATTACAGTTACGTCGGTACAACATTCAACAGAAACGAACAAGATGTAATTCAGCATTGTGAAGTTGTTTCCTAAAGGAACAGATAACGGCTCCTGCTGTGTCCGGGCACCTAAAGGTACGCCAGACACGTCAGGGGTGGATGTGGACATTCTTCGGCTGTGAAGGTTTTCCAGCTTGAAAAAAGAAAAAAAAAAGAAAAAGAAAAGAAAAACACCTAGACGCCCTTCCCTTCATCTCTCACCAGGAGAGCAAGACAGAAAATCAAGGGAGAGCATTTCCTATGTCACATTGAGATAGAAGTAATTATTCCTTAACACTGCATATCATTCTTCTGACAGACTCCATGACATTATTCACATTCAAACACGCTAAAAACGAAACAAAAAAAAACAAAACAGCTCTGGTTTCCCTTATGATATGTATTTCTAGGCAGGGATGGAATGCAGATGGGTTTTTGTTATGTGCTGCTTGAGACCCAGAACCCCTCACTGCCCCGGGGTCTCACTTTTCAGGATGACTCATCTACAACATTTTCGTGAGGAGTTAATCTCAGCAAATATTCATCCCAGCAAATATTTTGAGACATTTAGGACATTGTGTAATGGAGTATATTTGTGCCAACGTTAAATTTGTTTCTGAGCCAGATTTTGAATTTGCATTTGTATTTAAGGAACCGACTGTCTTCAAACTGAATAATTCATCTCATCAAGTCTTAAAAAGGTCATAGTCATAAAAAACATCACAGTGTCACACTTACACATATCGTAAGTTGCCAGAATCAATCTGTCATGTAGTGTTCCCCATGCTCAATAGAATAATCTATAGTAATGAGTAAATACCACTGACACGCTAAGTATCACACAACTGTAATGTTTGCTGGGACAGTCGGCAAAATTTAGTGAACATGCCATGGAGACAAGCTTAATCGATGCATCGTTGGGAATTTTGAAGGTTCTATATATAGAGCACAAATTTGACACTGAGAATCTGGGCACTCCAGTAAAATGGCAAAACGTTATTATAGTGCATTATGGGAGTGAATTTAGACTCAGCAAACTGGATGAAGCCCAGGGGATATGGTTGAAAGCTCCAGAAGAAGTGAGTAAGTTGGCCTTGTGTTGGAAACCTCTTAGCTGTTGTTTCCAAGGTCAAGGCAAGAACATATATGCTAAACTAATAAATTCCCAACTTCCCTCATGAATAAGTGCGTTTATCAAAAGGTGTAGCTACTACTTTTAGTCATAGACGTGGATGAGAAGTCTTACAAGTGGAAACCATGTCTCTAGTTCGATGACAACAAAGCAAATCGTATCTGCGGATGAGGAAGGTGTGATGTGGTCAAAAGCTCAAAAGCAAGTGAACTTCTTTTGTAAATGAATCATTTCAGAGTCGAAGTGTGACGAATCCACATTTGTAAATCCATCCCAAAATCAAATGTAAATGACCACAGACTCAACACATTCATCTATCCCAAAAAGTTGGTGCATATGAGTTGACCGACCAACCGGAACCAATGGCTTGGATTGGTGATTGGTGGATGTCAGCTTGTTTGCATTGTGCCACTGCATTTTCATCTGAAATCTGGTGGCAAGTGTTTAATTCAATGGAGACTCAAAACTTGGTATGCAGCTTTAAACGAGGAAATACAAAATTTTGATGAACCAAACTGTTTACCTGCTGGCACAAATTTCTGCTTATGAAAAAACACCTCTCCTACTCACTGCATCATTTTCTGAAATCCATAACTGTTTCAATATCAGTGTTCTTCTTACTTTGGCCCTCCTCTGTGGTTGAGGGGCTGCCAGCTTGCAGACTGTTACGTTTCTGTACTGCAGCTACATTTGAATGGTTCGACATGTGTAAGTGCTACAGTTAGTTTGTCCCCTGCGCTGTTCCTGAACAACCACATGGTATCAGTGTGAATGGAGCCATGATCCGACCTGCAGGGACAGCAGCGTAGTGAGGGATCTGGGGATAAGTGGCTATGATGAAGTTCAGTTCCCATTGTTCAGTGGGATGTGCGACCTCAGTTGTGAAGAAAAGCGGCTTTCTAGGATCATCTTTTAATTTCAGCGGGACTTCCTCATCTGATACACCACACCGCCCACTTCCCCGCCAATGAGCTTAAGTACTCAGTTGGATTTAATGTCCGAAGAGAAGCTTTACTCGATTGCATTTCTCAGGGCGGTGGAGGGTCATTTGGGATCTCCTCTTGCATCATTAAATGTTGCTTACACTGTCAAGTCTGAAGTCTAAGGCGGATGTTTGGAGTGGATTTGGGTATTCCACCCCACCATGTGCTTTCTAAATTATTATTACAATCTTCCTGACCCACGCAGCTCAGCAATCAGAATTGCATTGCCCATGTGTTTCACTGGTTCAAACAAGACACTTCTGAAAAGACAGAGAAGGAAAGGTAAGTTGAGGAGCTCTGTTCATAAGGCCATAACAGAGCCCATTTGTGTTTGCAGAGCCTGGATGGTAGTTCATGCTGTTGGTGGTAGATACACACTCATGAGGTTGACATTCAAGCAGTTGTTTTGGAAAAGTCAAAGCTGCTATTGGCTGTGATGAGCTAATAACTTCTATTTGTGCAACTGTATCTGTAGACATCCTTTAAACCCGAGATGAATGTTTGCTAGCAGGAGAACAACATGCCTGCAGAAGAGAGAATGAGGAAATTTGATGTCTATTCCAATCGTCATCGATCATCATTGTCATTCATCTTTTTGTCTCTGCACCATCATATGTATTTTTTTTTAAATTCTCTGATAAATACATTTCCCTGGCAATGAGATATTTTCTATAATTGTACGTTTTCTACTGAACAAGGAAATCATGCTGGAGGAAACTGGATTTCTAAATAGCATGTAGCATAATGTGAAGCCAGATATCTTCCTCTTACATTCAGTCATCAGTGTGGGGCCAGCTTTTGTTAAAACCCCCGAACCAACCACGGTTAAAGTAGAATCATGGTCTACTAGAAGTATCAGGTGTCCTGTGTGATCACAGCCTGTTGCAGAAAAATCTCTGGTATCTATCAACAACCTAATTTGCCCAATTTGTTTTGACAGTGAGGTAAACTGATTTACGGAGGAGATACAGCCACCAGATGAGAGTTAATTTCATAGACAGGCTGATTCTAAATCGAATCTGCTACATCGGGTCTCTGCGGTTCATGCCGAGACTGGAAAGTTAAACAGACACGGTCAGTCTGATGAGTGTGTGTCAAAGGCTTCTGCTGTTGTGCTTCCCTCCTTTGAAAAACTGATGAACAGACTCGGCTGTCGATATGGAGAGAAGCTTCGCATTCTGGCCGTGTGGATGTAAACTCATTCATGTAGAGACATGAACAAGTTAGTGTTTTAAAAGACAAAAACTGTTTTAAATATAGCAACAAATATAAAATATTAGACTTCCATAATGTCAATATGCAATAACATTCTAGATAACTTTTTGAAGGACTTACAATTAGTCCCTCTTCAAACCTTGATGTATCGCCTCAAAGATAATATTTAAGACAATGAAAAAAGCACCACAAAATTCATCATAGAAACAAGATCTAACCATACGATGGTATGTACAATGTACGTATGCCAACAATATGAGAGAGGGAAAGAGATGAGGACAGAGTAGGAAAGAGAAAGAGAGAGAGGAGTAAAACCACTTATCCAACTCCTGTCATGCAGATAAGGAGTTACACAGGAGACCTGAGGAGTATCATCTCTGGCGGTTTGTGAGGGCCACGCCCTTCCTGTCACAGTCCCAGAGACGCCATTACAAATGAGCGTTATACACAAACCGTTGATCCTTTGAGGCCTCCGTGTTGACGTTTTCTTTTTAAGGAGGGAGTTTTAGAGGAATGGGAGAAGAAGGATATAAAGATAACATAATACCAAGCGTTGGAGAGTCAGGGCAGAAAGGTTGGGCATGGGCGGGAGGGGGAGGTTTGAGGTCTTCTCCTTGCCGGCTGTTCTTTTTTTTGTGCAAAGAAATGTCAGAGTAAGTCTCAGAGGCACCCATGGGTGCACTCTCCTAGGGCTCTTTGCTAGGAGGTGTGGCTGTAGCCCCCTCTGTGTCCAGGGAACCCGGTGACTCCTCGGCAGGGGTGTCTTCGTTGGGGCTGTCCTTGCTGCTGGGGCTGGCCCCTTCCCCGGCCTCGGCTGAAGTGCTGTTGCTGCTGCTCTGGCTGTCTTGGCCCTCTGAGTTTTCCAGCATCTCCTGGATTAGTGGCGGCATGGAACCTGGGATCTCCATCTTCAGAGAGATGACGCGTTCTGCTCCTGCAAGACAAAAAGGATAAAAGTGATTTTTTGATCTTGAAAAAAAGTTTTAGAAAAAATGGGTGACACTTGTGTTACACGCAACAATATTTTACAATCCCTCTGATATACAACCAATTTTCACACTTTCATTGCATGAGCCTTCTCCATAACAATTTAGCTAACTCAATGAAAACCACCAGATATGATTGAAAGCTCCAAAACAATGTGTTGAATGGACATTGAGTGAAGATATTTTGATAATTGGCCGATTCTTTTCCAACTTTCAACATCCTTTGTAAAATAATTGCAATAATAACTGTTTACTTAAACTATTTAATTTATATTGTGCACTTTAATCGCAACAGTAACCTGCTTTATAGGCCAGAAAACACAAAGAGAAACTATCAAACCAAAAAGTAAAACTAAGAAAAAGTAAAGGATTAGGACACAAATGAAACCGATACAAACAGTGAAAGCATTAGTAAGACAATAAGCTGGGAGAGGAATCAGATAAACCAAGGAAACAACAAAAAGCCAAGTTTAAACGATGGGTTTTAAGGGAAGATACAGAGCAGAGATAAAGAGCAGTGAAACTCTACAATAATGATTCCAAAGTGGAGGGGCCGAGGTCTGTGGAAGGTTGATAGAAGCGTTTGATTCTGACACAAAGCTTAAATGGGGTTTAAGGCTCAGCACTGTGAGTCAGTCCAAAACATACATGAAACAGATCAAAGCTGTTTACAATCTATAGTGTTTCAAAGGCAGCCAGTGTCCAGAAGGTGCGGCCTCCTTGTCACCTTTCCTGCTAGGTTTTGTAACTGAATATTCATATTAACGATCATTACATGCCACTGATTGTCACCAACCAAAACATCTACCACACACTTTGCTCATTTGATGTCCAAATGGATGTTGTTCTTTCTTGTGTGTGCCCCCATTAAATCACAACTTGATTGTTAGTCCTTACTCAGCCATCATGTCCCCAAGTATGAAGATATGTGGGTGGTCCCCCCTTTTCCACTAAGTAGTCAAGATGGCAAGTATCAAGGGTGAGAAATGTCCAACCTTTAAAGCTCAACCTATTGACCATTTTGAGTTCACCATCCTGGTACTCGTATACAAGTTCACTCTTGAAAGAGCTTTCTCAGAGTTCAGATCATAAAGATTAAAACTAGCTCATATTTACAGGTATTAGGTTCACAGTTCCAAATATTAACAAGTTCACACTCGTCTGTTTTTAACCTGAACATTACAGACACTGACAATTTAACATAATGTACATGAATTAAAGTTTTGTCAACACAATTCAAACAACATGCAACTAAATCAGCATGTCCACACAACACACAAAAAATACATGTCCACAAAGCCACTACCGACGATCATGCTACTTCATGAGAACACAAGAGCAGACTCCACACATTCCAACGATATCTTTCTTATCTTTCTATGACCAACCCTCCCTCGACCAGAAGCCCAACGAGAACAAAAATGAAAGTTCCCATCAAAAAGCGACACATACATGTCTGACCTCTAATGTTTTGTCACAATACGTTTTGTTTTAGTCCATAACTCTGCTAAAGCCGTCGATCCAATGTCTCATTCATTTTCTTCTTCTCTTAGTTCACTGGCGGTCTCGACTAAACCCTCTCCCGGCCCACGTCAGAGAACATTTGCATAAAGTTGAACCTTTTTCAATTTCTCCGTGTCACATTGCAGCAAAACACCGGCTTATTTGGTGATTCTGCTCACAATGATAGCAGCCTGTCAGCCTCCAGTGTTTGAGTGCTTACAGGATTATCAGTGTCTGACATGCAGGCAGACGTGGATGCCTCCTGCTATTTGTAACTGCAGTGAGCTGATACGTGTGGTGTAAGCGTAAGGTGACATTTCCTTCCCACCTTTAGCACTGATGCTGCGCAGGTCTGTGATCTTCATCAGGGTTTTAGGGAACATGTGTGGTTTGCTGGGACGGCGCTTCCTCACGTAGATCTTCAGAGCTTCCAGCAGTGGCTCCTGGAGCTGGTCCACCTTGGAGGGCTCCTCCAGGTCCTGACGATCTGACACACACACAAACACACATACGCGAATTCCAGTCAGACTTGAGGGCTCAACTATGACAAATCCATGTCTTTGCCTTATCTGATGTAGACAAGCTAGAGGCTAATACATGTATCACAGCATGAATTCCGGTTTGATTAAGAAGGAAGAGTTTATCTCATTATGTCAGCTCATTTGCTGCAGAGGAGAATTTCCCGTGATGGTTACAATTAGATAACTTGAGCAGAACGCTCATTTAAACCCTTTATTCTGACTGCTTGTGCTCAGCTCTGATAACTGTGAGGTTTTAGAGGCAAAGCTGCTCGGCAGATGTGGTATTCGAAGCCGTGCATCTATCCAGAGACCATGGAATAGAATGACTCAGTGGTCAAATGCACCAGAGGCCTCTGCTCTCTGAACAGAGACACTGGCTCAAATCCCCCATTCAAAGAACATCGAGGACGTTTGAGCCGGTAGTTCCCTCAGGTTTTTATTTGGCTCTATTGTGCATTAATATGTAGCCACTGACAATGTTGAGAAGACTTAGCTTGGGTTTGTTTTCATCACAGAAAATATTCTCCAGTTGGAATATCCAGCAAATTGTCCAAGGTGGAAGGTGTTACTTATCGTATTCTACATTGTTCTAGAGTTAAACCTTATCACAACCAAAATAACTGATGATCAGAGCTTCACAAACATTTATTTTTAAGGTTGTTTAAATCATCTGATCCCACACATCACTTTGTGATGTCGTTTCCAGACCAAAGCTGCAAATGCAAGATTTTAAGTTCTATGTAAAGTGCCTTGAGATAATGTATATTATGATTTGGCGCTATACAAATACAATTGAATGGATTCTCTGTCGTTTAGAATTCAAAAGATTGGTTCACATTTTTCCAGTCGATCTTAAAGAATTACACACATGCAAAGAACATTGAAACTGTTATTGTTTACTCACTGTTCATTCTTTCTTGCTGTAAATAAATCACTTTCTAAGGGAGGAGGATGGATTGATGGAGCTGAGTTTAATTTGATAATATGAGTCTCAGTTACTCAAATAAAGTATGTTCTGATTGTCCTGCCAGCACAGCTCAACAGGAAGCCACTTTGGGAATTTTGAAAAAAAAAGACTTTTAACACAGCATTGTAAAAAAGGTGAACCCACTGATACTTCAGTGAGGAGAAAGAAATGTAATCATTTAAAGTCACTTGGTACAAACAAGTACAGCAACGTTTGCAGTTTCCAGTAGATTGATTTTTAAAAATTGAGATTTTTAAAATACTGGGCTTTTCTCTGTTTCATGTGATTGTAAAATGTCTGGGTGTTTGACCACACTATGAGAAATCGTGATGGGAAACATTATAGATTCAATCATCAATTCAGAATTACAAAACTAAAAGAAAAAACTGTGATGTGTTCGACATTTGATCTGAATGGTCAGCTCTGGAAAGTAGTCCCATTGAAGATGACATTTCAATCCAGCATTAGGCCTTAGGGTGGCAGTGTGTGCACTGAAATGAGTAGCTGCTGGCCCTGCAGCCAAGGTGCATGATTTCAGATGCAATCAGAGGTGTCTCGCACTTTCCTCGGATTATGCAAGAGCCTGAAATATTTGCTGAGGCTCTGGGGATTGAGTATATAAATATATATTGTTGAATGAAAACCCAGCGGCGAAGGCGCTGATGAAAATGACGGGTAGACGGGAGCGTGATAATTAGAGGAGACGCTGTGTGACTTTCAGTGGACATGCAGGAAAACTTTGTGTGTGTGTGTACGAGCGTGTGGATATGCATGTGTGTGTGCGTTACAGACTTGTGTGTTAATGTGCGTGTAGCCACATGAGAGCATTAGTCATGCCTCAGATATGGTGGTGGAAAACAAGCAGAGCAGCCTCTTGTCTCTGGGGGGGGGGCAGTTCAAACATTCCACTCAGTGAACTGATTCTGCTGTGACATACCTGCCTGTCATCTCCCTCCTCTCCCTGCTCTCTCTCCAGTCACAACATCGCTGCCTCACTGACAGCAACCTGTGGTTGACCTGGTTTCAGACACAGGTGGAGGCTGATTCACTTTCACCTCAAACTGAGTGGCTCCACGTTAGCTCTGCTGCTCATCATGTAACTCACACCAAATTCAAATTCTGAGGGCCAGCGGACAAATTATATCGCAGTGTATCGTGAATGTAGTGTACAAGAGATGGTCACTAACCAGTATATACCATCATGCATTGCACTCATGGCGTTAACAGGGAGAAAAATGGCGGAGAGATGAGGAAGAGAGGGCAGCACGTTTCAGCCTTCTCTCTCTATCTGGAAATTCTTCTCATTCTCACTCTCATCAAAAACATCTGAATTATTATATTTATTATAAAGACGGACATGTTTATATTTTCACAGACCGATTTGAAGACAGTCCGCTCTAATGTACTTTAAAAAAAAATGGAATGACATATTGTAGCAGTAAAATGAAAGCAGAGCAGCGCGTCTCAGCAAAAACTGCAGCAAACAAGTTTATTTCTACTTTTAAATGTGGTCATTAAATATGTTTTTGACCTACCTGTATTAAATGTAAGTGCCAAATAAACATTTGAAATGTATTATGGTATTTTTGCACCTGCCGACATCGTTGTTGTTGTGTCATAATCCCCCAACAATGACATAATTACCGGGGCAGAATAAATGCGCTGCGTAGTGTCTGAAAATGCTTTCAGACACTACTCAAGTGTTTTTTCTGCTGCAAATGAGGTCACGATATAATCCTTTACATAGAAGTCAATATATGGTGAAGTAGGGCTTAGTGAATGAGTGGGTGATTTTGGACACATCCCGTAAGTATCATTCATTTACACAACCACATTTATATTTATTAACATAGGGCGCAGGAGGAAAAATTCACCTTTAAGGCCACGTCTGAACGAGGCCTTCGAGTTGAAATGCTATGATTTAACACTTGCAGACTTTAAAGACTTACTTTTGCTGTTGGACTACTCACAGTTTAACAGCCACATATGTTAATAAAGTTACAGAAATTCATTATTTGGTCGCTGAAGACAACATATGACACATTGTACGCAACATGTAAAGATGGGTGACATTTACATTCTTGTCTCTTTCTTTCTCTCGGACTTCTATTCTTATCTTGTCCTTCTTTCCCACTGCCCCCCACCACTCCTCCCCATTCTGCCCCCGGTTTGCCCACCTCCAGAGATGAGACAGATGGCGCTGAGGAGGCCTGTCTCCGTGTCGTCCATCTCGATGGGCAGCAGCTGGTTGGCAAAAGTGAACACCAAGTCAGTGAGAGGGCCGAAGCCAGCGTTGTGCATCTGCGTCCGGTTGAGGGTCAGCCCATCCGAGAAGGTCATGGTGTCCTTGTCGGGGGTGTACCTCGTACAGATGCGCAGGATCTGACAGGGGGGAGGGGGGGGAAGAGAGAGAGGCTCGGTCAGCAGGGACTTAGTGGACAGGAAACTTTACGTGACTATAAATTGGAGGGTTCATCCATAGAGGTGAAGCTGCAGACAGCTGGTTTTAAACTTCTTGATGCTGAGTTTTAACATCGACTGAACGTTTTGTTCACTTTCATTATTGTTAATGAAAAAAACCTAAAAGAATAAGACTTAATTTAACAATAATCCATAAGAAAAAGCAGGAAATAAGGAGGATTTAACTGTACCACTTGCTACTGATTCCTTTTCACTCAACCTGGCATTTCAAATGTGTTCTTATTAATGGTTGTATAACTGTTCTCTAAAGCATTACAGTACATTTTAATAAAAAACAAATGACATACATTTATAATGTCCAGTAAAGATGTCTTTTCACAGTGGGGCTGAGTTTGCTAAAACTGACACCTGTTTCTTTACATAGTGTTGATATATTTTGGCAGCTTCACTTTACCTCAAATATCAATTTTGTAAACTGATCAGCCAGGACTTTAGAGTAGGTAATGCTTTTTAATCAAACCATGAAGCCAAATAAATAAACTGAAGCTACAAAATAAGTTTTAAATCACATTAGTGATGGTTCAGAATGAGGCCACAGATACACACTGATCAGTCACAACATGCTTTACTTTGTGGTGCTCACAGCAGAAATGAAATTTTAAGTCCCTAACCGAAATGAGCATCATATCAGATACCCACATTATTACTGGACCTTCATGATGGGAAGCCTTACTCACAATTTCACAGATGAGATTTGAAAAAGACTCAAAATTACTGTATAAACTTTCATAGTTTGTTGCAAAATCATCTCGTAAAAAAAAAAGGTCAGGTTATATTGTTTCGATTATATATATTTATATTTATATTACTCCCAAAGACGGGCAGACACACACACACACACACTCTTTCCGCAGATTATGACACAACACAGTGTTTTAACTTCATTGTTCATTGACAACGTGTCCCGTTTATCCAGGAACTTTAATATAAATCGAGCAGGTCTTCATAAACATCAGTTCTATGTGTGAGTGATTAGAGAAGAGCAGAGTCATTTGTTGACCTGCGGGACCACGCGGATACTGTAAAGGCTGTAATCTGAGTGCATTCATATGGAGAGCATCAAAATAATCAAATATAATCATGTTGATTATATTATTTTATTTATTTATATATCAATTTGCCACTTGGCATTTCTCACACTGTTTTTAGCCCCTCTTTGTGCATTGTTTTAGCTAAACATCCCATAAATTATTCTCTCGTGGACCTGATTTTTCTAGCGACAGCAAGCAGCTGTTTTTGGTGAAAAACGCATGTAGAACAAAAGTAGCAAAAAAACTCCTGAAATAAAGTGTGACAATGAAATAAGATCTGTGTGTTTTTATCAGGAAATAAAGGAGCTGAACGTTAAATGAAACATTTCAGTGACCAGACACATCTGCAACAAATGTTTACGTCGTTGCATGTTTACTTATTGGATGTAGTTTATAAGGTAAAATAATATGTTCTATGCTATTCCTAGTTTGTTCTGCTTCCCCCTAGTGGGCAGAAAATCAATTCATGCAACCTAAAGCGAGAAAGCACTGCAGGTAATTTGACTTTAATAACAATGAAATAAAGACATGAAATATACAAACCACCCATAAAATATGCAAGCACACAATTAACAGTACCAACCTTCTCACAGTCATTGTACCAGACTGTGAGAAGGTTGTAACTGTTACATGCGAGTATGTGTGAATCTGAATCTGAGAGGAGTCTGAACCAAGTTTCCCAGAAAGAGCAACAGAGACAAGAGGCCCAGCCAAAACAATGACCTTCTACACACTCAAAGAAAATAACCTTTGGGTCTCCCTGCTGCACTGCGTGTGTGTTTGTGTGTGTGTGTGTGTGTGCACGTGCGTGCGTGTGTGAACACCTAATGAAGCCACTGACGCTGGATGTGAAGCCTACAGGAACCTTTGAAGCTATTTGAGTGGGATGCTTCTGACAGTGAGTGGCAGGCGTGTCTGCAACATGAAACAGAATAAAACATGGCTACTGGCAGTACTCACACCGGCTGGCCAGGCCTGCGCTCAGACACACACACACACACACACACACACACACACACACACACACACACACACACACACACACACAGCGTTTGATCTTTACTATGACACTCCCTCACCCAGGCCCGGTGCACAATACCTACGCCCTTCGCCACAGCAATGTGCTGGTGAATGGATGCTGATGGCTGAGTGGGAGCCAGAAAGTCACCACAGCCTTCAACTTCTCACCTCGGTTTCCCCGGGAGTTCACTGTTGCTCCACCGCTCAGCCACTTCTGAGTGTGACTCAATGAAAACTCATTTATCAACGCGGCACTGCCGCAGAAACTGAACTTGGCAGAAACATACACAAACTGAATCCCAAGCATTCATTAATCCAGGCTATGTCTGCATGTTGTTAAGCTGCTTTGCATTTACACCTCACATTAATATGCATCTTCATGCATTAATCACATGCAGATCATCCTTTCTATCACTACCTCTGTTAGGGTTCATGTCTTTTAAAGAAAATATATCAGGCTGCTGAGAGAACTCTTTTATTATCATTTATGATTTGTAATCAATGGGTTTATTAATAATTAATGAGTCGATGATGCAGGTTGGTTTATGTATGTAAGAGATACATGCTCAAAGACTGTAATAACGACCCACTGTTCTTGATCCAACAATGTGTTGGAAACCTTCCTCTGAGATTCTGCTCCATGTTGACATGTTGCAGATTTGTCAGTTACACATTCACGCTGCCCCCGTTCAAACGAAAACAAAGCTTCCACTGGCGACTGTAGAGTAGAGTCAATGGTAAGTAGTCTGAACACATGTAGCGTTTCTCTGGTGTTAATGACACACATTCATACAGTGCATCTACGGGCAGCACTTTTTTCTCTGAGGAAGGCCCAGCCGACAGGAGCAGTTTGAGTTTCAGTATCTCGCTCGATGACACTTCAGCATGTGGAATGGGGAAGACTGGGAGTAAACCACTGTCTTTCTAGTCAGAGGATGACCCGCTCTACCACTGAGCCACAGCCCCCCCCAACGGTCCCTGAAGTTCATTGAACTCACTGTCATATTTATGAAACCAGTTAGACACTTTGACTTCATTCAGCTGGAAGTAGCCATTAGATGGTGGTAAACTGTGGTCAGCAACAGACTACAAATCAAGACTGATGGTATTTACTAATGGAAGTTTGTCAAGAAAACATTCCCACTGTCACACCAACACCACCAGCAGCAGCAGTAGTCTAAACGTGGCATCTATTGGACCTCTGTCCGTCCTGGGAGAGGGATCTCTCACATGTGGCTCTCTCTACGTTCTTTTTTCCCTGTTAAAAGTGTTTTTTGGTAGTTTTCCTTCCTCTTGTTGAGGGTTAAGAGCAGAGTTATGTCTGCTTTTTAAAGCCCTATGAGACAAATTGTGATTTGTGAATATGGGCAATAAAAATTAAATTTGATTGATTGATAGATAGTCAGATGATACAAAGCAGGTTGGTTCCATGGATTCATGCTGTTGACTCAGATTCTGCAGGTTCATCAGACCAGGCTACATTTTTCAGTCTGCAACTGTCCAGTGTCAGTGAGTCTGTGTCCCTGCAGCCTCACATGTCTGTTCTTGGCTGACAGGACTGGAAGCTGACGTGGTCTGTGCTGTTGTAGACCATCCACCCCAAAAGATGTTGTTCACTCTTTCTCTAGTAAAAATCTGAGTTACCATGCCCTTTCTGTCAGCTCCAACCGATCTGACCTCTCTTATTAACAAGATGTTTCCGTCCACAGAACTGAACTGAATCTAAGGACATGAGCAGTTTCAGAATCAGTCAAAACAACACCTCTTTCTTCCTCGTTCTGATGTTTGATACAAACACTAACTGGAGGATTTTATGCCTTCCACTGCTACCACTTGATTGGCTGAGTGGCTGGATAATTGGAAAACCATATTTGACCATTAATCAAGGCAGAGAGAGAGAGTGAACTCAAAGACTGTGTGTAATTCTATCTGACCTGTGATGAGCTCGTTTTTTAGGTGTTGCGATAAACTCGTACTCATGATAACTGAGATATTAAAAACATGAATTTAATGTAATCATGTTAATAATCCAGCACCACTTTAATCACCAGACCTCAGGATTTACTTATGATAGACATTTGATATCAATCATAAGTCATTAATAAGGTTCATTGGCATCAGGTTGTGGGAAATCCATGTCCATTTGTCTTTAGCTAGCTCCCTGTCTTGTAGCTAGCCATTAAGTTCTATTAAAAATAAAGCATCACTTCAATCTGTATTTATAATTTTAAAAATATAATAAAGCAGGAATAATTATAATGTGGCAATGATTGAAAAAAGAATGAAACTAGCCCTAATTATATTAGCCTAAATATACTCTTCCCTAAACACACACACACACACACACACACACACCAACCTTGCAGGAGTGAGACAGACGAGGAGGAGAGACAGCCATTTTGCCTTTTTCCATCTCATTACTGTGGCTACATTACAGTACATTGCTCCACTTCACAAGCCCTAAATAACAAACATTTACCCGCTGGCAGGCGGCAGACTCTGCAGACATCTCTGCGTCTGTGCTCCATAAAGAGCACACAGCATCATTAACAAATGCAGCGACGACTCACTGCCCCACATTCAAAAGCACAGGCAACTGTCCTAAAAAAAGATTAGGGGCTGAGAAATGAGTCTGCATGTCTAATCTAACCTCTACCACAGACTGCTACTCCTCATGATGAACTGAATTGACTGGCATGATCAATTGATCTGAACTTCCTGACTCCCATTGGCCAGCTGAGGAGGTCATCCAATAAGATCTGAGGATTGGTCTAATGGGAGCCGGGCTTAAACCCACCGGAGATCTGAGGCTCACCACAGACTCTAAACACATTAATAGATTCGAACACACCGAGGAACAGGAAGGGAACAGGAGGATAAATATTACAATATACTGAAGCAGACGACTCCCTCCTCAGTAAAGAGGTGTGTTTATATAACTGTGTTATGTCACTGCTGGGAGCAGTTCTGGAGAGGTTTTTAGCTCATTACTGAATATTTTAGGAGTTTACTCTCGTACTGAAGAAACATCTAAACTGTGCTTCTTGCAGCGACTCCATTAAAGAGGAACTAGTTCAGTGTAATTACAGATAGAGATGAAAAGGTAGAAAAGTGACAGTGTCTGGAACCCTGTGTACGCTGCAAAAAATAAAAGGTTAGGAACAACTCGCTGCATTCGATTCTGTAGAACCCAGTCTTAGACCTAGTTGTGTTGACTAATTATCTTTAGTTCAGATCATGTGTCTTGTTATACAACTTTAAATACATGAGGATTCTTGTGTCACCAGGTTCTGGACCAGTTTATTCATTATGTTGATCTGAAAATTGTCTAGCGCCATAAACAATTATGTTTGCCATTTGAAATTTCAATGTAAATCATCAAAAGATTGCATTTATATAGTACAGACTTATTGACCATTAAAGTGCTTCACTGTACAAATCACATTCACCTATTCACACACAGTCATACAGCTCTTCCACAGTATATGTAGCATGTTTTCTATCACTCATCATTCACACACTGAAAGCCAGTATTTCATTTTGAACCATCAGATTTCTGATGTGGAAACTTGAGGACTTGAGTGTCAAATCACTAAGAGCTGATTTTTCAGTGTAGTAGGAGACATCTGGTATCGATCACTTAATAAAAGGAATAGCATTATTTCTCTGAATGACAAGTTTATTTCTCCAAAATACAATGACACCCACCAAAATGTCCAGGCAGGCAGCTTTCAGGAGCGTGATCTGGTCTGCGATGGTCAGCCCTGTGAAGCCAGGCACTCGTTTGGCAAATTCCACGATCTTGATAATGCACTTGGTGGCCAGCTCGCTGAATTTGTCCCACAGGCCCAGGTCCAGCCTCACACGGTGGTCTGCACTCGAGTTCTGTGAGGCGCACACACACACAAATACACACAGAAAAACAGAGAACAAGCCGTCAGGCGAAGAGGCAGCTACTTTCGTCATTGCACAGACTGTTGCTAATGATCTCCTCAGTGCACCCTCTTCACTCTGCTCCATATGTGTCACAGTTACCTACAGTAAATAGGCTCCATAAGACCAGAGCTCTCAAAAACACTGGCAGGATTGTTGTTGTGAATTCGCCGAGCTGAGCTGAGCCCGGTGGCCGGGCCCTGCAATAATGAGCATAACAGTGCCAGTGGGATGCTTATGCAATGATGGGATGCAGAAACAGAGCTGTGACAGGTAGCACAGGGCGGTTTGAAGCCAGAGCTGCCATTAATACAGCTACACCATCCAGAACCTACACTGGAGGGAAGCAGGATGGGTGAAAGCCAGGGAACAATAAAGACATAGCCGATCGCAGTATACGGGAAGAGGAAAAAGTGGAAATAAATGTGCTGTAAGAGACCACAGAGAGGAAAGAGAGAGAAGGAATAACAGATGACAGGGAGGAAAGTTAAGAGTGGGTGAGCAGTGTGGCAGCGTGGAAGAGGAGAGGAGAAGGCGTTGTATGAAGTCTGAAAATGTGTATGCTAACTGCTATTTACGGCTTTTGATTAAAACAACAAATGGCTTCAGCTACCTCTTACAGCAAAACTCACTCTGCGACTTTCTAAACTGTCCGTTTATTACAACAAACTTTTTGGAGGCACAATACAAATGAAAAAGTGAGAGCTCCTGAACTGCTTGTCTTAACCTGTGATTGTGCATAACTATGGTCAGCATAACAAGAAGTCCATCTATAAGCTCTGACAGGTGGGAACAGTCAACAGCACAGTGGTGCAGTGGTTATCACTGTCACCTCACACCAATTAGGTTCTTAGTACCGCCAGGGTCTGTGGGGGTTTGCACGTTCTTCTCATGTCTGTGGGGCCTTATATCAGTTTCCTGCCACAGTCTAAACACATGCAGATCGGGGTCAGGTTAATTGAAGACTCCGTGGCAGCGAATGTGATCGGTTGTTTTTCTCTTTATGTTGATCCTGTGATATGCCGGCGACATGTCCAGAGTGTTCACCTCCTCTCCCCAGCTGGAAATGACCCTCTAATCCTTAAAAGATAAACTGTATAAATAATGGATGAATGGATTCTGCTATCCAAACCTGAACCCAGTGCATGATATAGGTGCTCAGGTCGTGTTTGTCTATGTTCCTATGTGGTAAGTTAAAAGGGATGCATTTTAAGTTTAAATAACAGTAAATTTATTATCAATACTGATGCTAAAACCTGGGGTTCAAATCTGTGAGATGAAGCTGCAGAAATATACAAAGTTAAAAGATGAAGTCAATTCCATGGTAGATTGGAAAAACTGTTAAGTTAAAATAATTCAAAAATGTGTTATAAACACAAAATAAAATCATTAATCAGTAAATCACAACCTGCTCTTATTTTGAAGGCAACACAGATTATTTTTCGGGGGGGAACTGAGTGTATTTCCTCATTCCAGTAAAGTTACCATTATGGAAACACTAGCTAAACCTTGTGTGGTTAATTCTGTCTTTCATGTATGTTGCAATATTAAGATATATATAATATATAATATAATGTGTTGTCAGATGCTGCAATGTGTAAATTGCTGTATTCTTGTACTGTTCTAAAGTAATTCATGGGAGTAAAACAACCATTGTGGAAAAACTCAAACTTGTGTGGTTATTTGTTCCCCCTCTTTCAGGGGCCTAACACATGCACGCTGTAATAAAATGAGGGATGGCCATTTAGCTGCTTCAGCTCAGAGCTCTGGTATTGCGTATGCTGGCTCTGTCACGTACTGAGACACTAACAAAGCCATCAATAAGGTCACAAGTTACATTCATCTGCAAAAAGAATCATTCTCTAAAGTAATGTGAATATTATGAGTTGGGTGCATCAAAAATAAACAGCTGGTGGTGATAATTTTCCACTCGGGCACCGTTTATTATTGCAAAATGATGTCATTAACAGAGCACCATCTCAGCCTCAGTGGAAAAGGTGATGGAAATACATGAATATGACATTTCTGTTTGTCTCATGCATCAATGAGAGGAAGGTTACAATCTGTGTCGTAGTTGTACAATCTTCAGTTTGTTTCCACGTGGCACCGGCACAATCCAAGTAGAACAGACTGAAATACAGTGAGAACAACTGCAAGTGTGTTGTGTCTGCAGTTGTCTATCGAGGCCTTCGTTAATGTTGACGTGATGTACATGTGTGTTGCCTTGATCATCACTATCGCTCAGTCTGTATCCACAGCACATTTCCTTTTACTGACACACCAGCTGTTTCACCTAAGCTAATGGTATCAAGGTTTCAAGGCAGTATTTCCATTTACTTTAGAATTTCTGCTTTTTCATTTTAAACACTTTAACTGAAAATGTGAATGAAAAAAAGTGGATGGAAATGCACTTAAAGTTCTGATGTGTCAAAGCCCTATGCAGCCTGGGTGACGGGAAGAGACACAGTGTGAAGTCAGGGACACTCTTGAGGGACACCAACACAGGGCTGGGTAGTATTACACAATAATAGCAGGCAGAACAAAACCAACTATAATAACTAATTAAAACGCTTAAATACTTCCTGTCTTCCTGTGGGGTCGGCATCATGTCTCCCATCTTCACATCACTTTTTGAACAACAAATAAGAAAGCCTCAGGTCGAGGGTTAGGTAAGGTTTTAAAATCTTAAGTGCGTGCAGGTTATGGGTTTAGGTCCTATCTTCTGTTTGCTTGCATGTTTGCATGTTTCTTTCCACATTGGACTCCTCTTTAATTAACTCCACTGTAGGAACCTAATGAGTATGAGAGGTGTAACAACACTGAAACCTAAACCAAACACTGTAACATAAACGTCCCCAATTTACTGTTGCAATACCAGAAAACCAAATTGCATTCGAGCACCCTCACACCCCTGTAAGAATTATGCTCTACAACACATATAATGACTCGAGCCACAAAACTGAACTAGAATTATCCTGTAATTCTGGTGGCTAAAACTCTAAAGGCTGTTTTACTGCGATAAAGACACAGTTTTGAGTCAAATCCATGCTGTAGTTAAAATCGTTAAACAACAGAGAAACTGAACTTAATCCCTAAAATAACAGTCAGCATCTCCCCTCACTTGTTAGAAGCTACATGCCTACAGCTTCTCTTATATCCCAGAGTAATGCTCCCAATTATTTTTTCAGCTTCATCTTTATCACCAGTGAGACACTGAGACATGGGAGCATCCAAAGCGGGAGCATTCAAAGAGGTGATTCTGTAATGGTTTGGTTATTGTTTACTGTGGATGAGGGGCTGCAACCAACAGTTTTAAAAAGGGAGGGGAGAGAAGTGGCCATGGGAGCAGGGGACAATATGACAGATTCAGACAGAGGAGAGCAGCTGCTGGGGAATGGTTTGGGTGTAGCAGAGGGAGAGCTGTGGCGCGCTGGCTGATGGTGGGGATGGAGCATCTGATGACCGTTCTGTTTTGTGATGGTTAACATGGAATGGCCCATCTGTTCTACATGGGTGAGTCTCCACATGTAGCAAGGACACACGGCACAGACTCACAGAGAGGGTGACACGCACCGACACTTAACACAATGAGGAGGGACGATCCTCACACAATGTACTGAATATATGTTAGACAAGGGACGTCTGTGCCACGCAGCACGTTCAACATATCTTTTCGTTATCTGGCTTCGCAAAGCGTAACAACCGCAGTCTCGCTGAGCGGTCATGTGGCAGCGATTATCAACATAACAAGTCAACCGTGCTTTTCCCAAGCACGTTCTCAGAGAAGCAGAAGTGTTTGTTGCATATGACCAATAGTATGATATTTGACAGATTTGATGAAGTTAAGCAAATAATAATAATCCAGGTAGGAAAGGTAAAAAATGCAGGGACGACAGCTGACAAATAACTGTAATATAATATAATATAACATCACTGCTCCATGCAAGAGAAGATCTGAATATAGTAACATTTGTGTATTTGGTCAAATTACATGTGTTTGCATATGAGAGTTTTATACTCATTCTTACAGCTGCAGCCCCGGCAGGGTCAAGCAAACATAATTCAAAGTGGTGTGTCGGTTCACTTTAGAAAATAGTTCAAGTCTTTAGCACTTCATTAAGTCTGTATTTTAGGACGATGCCAATATACAAGAGGAAAATGGCTTTGACATTGCTGCAGCCAGGAAAAAAACCAGATAAAGACGTCAGGAGGGGGCCCTCCTACACAGGAGAACAGTAACAACCTCTGTAAAAATGAGGGTCATTCAGAGAAACCCATGATGTCATTTTCCAAAGGAATAGATTGGTTAGTGCCCCCCCCCCTCCCCTTCATTTTTCTGTAGCCATTGTAAACTTAGGGGATCATTGCTGTCGACTCAAAAAGCCTTTGTGACATGTTGTTAATGCACTATTTACTGTGAATGTGTTAAGGGCATTATAGGAGTGGCTGACTCAATTTTCCTCTTTTTTTTTCTCCACATCCGACTTATTTTTGATGATTCTGTTGTCAAGAAGGTGTTCAGAAGCTCAGAGATAGGCTGGGGACTGAGGTGAAGTGACCAATTGAACGAGAGGTGCATCAGCCACTGTTCCCGCCTCCAAAGTCTCAAAATTCAACTTGACAAGCGAGCGAACTGTCGTGCAGAGTTAAGCAGCTGCGAGTGCAAAGGGAAGCGCGAGCCTGTGCTTGTCTCAGCCCCACGCTCACAGTTGTGCACACTGAACTGCAGTTGTGGTTATAAAGTAGGGATTCTTGTTCGCAAGTGGTTTTACGCTCATGGATACTGTTCTGTGCAGGATAGAAACGCTACCTCACCAGTTTGGTTAAGTGCTTGCAACCACTATTCTGTGCATGTATCATATGCATGAGCAAGGTTTTGACGTGCACAATAAATGCAACACTTCCGCCCCCCCCAAATCTAGTTAGTTGGTACATGGAGCTAGTACATGGAT